CTTGATTGTATACAGTTACAATTCTCACTCACCTTATAATTACTACCCTAAATGGAGAGCACTCAGCTGCGCTGAGCCACTGCAGGAAACAGGCAGCCTTTACCTATCTGGAAGAAGAGGTGGCAGACAGAGCCCAGCACCCTGAGCTGGTGCTGCTTCTTTTTCTCCATCAAGCAGGACAGTATTCCTACTCCTTGAGTGCCCATTTAAAACTTCTAGCTTGCACAACTGTTTCTGTAGCCTTTTCATGTAATCATAGAATCATAGAATAGTTAGGGTTGGAAAGGACCTTAAGATCATCTAGTTCCAACCCCCCTGCCATGGGCAGGGACACCTTACGCTAAACCATATCACCCAAGGCCTTGTCCAACCTGGTCTTGAACACTGCCAGGGATGGAGCATTCACAACCTCGCTGGGCAACCTATTCCAGTGCCTCACCACCCTAACAGGGAAGAATTTCCTTCTTATATCCAATCTAAACTTCCCCTGTTTAAGTTTTAACCCGTTACCCCTTGTCCTGTCACTACAGTCCCTAATGAAGAGTCCCTCTCCAGCATCGCTATAGGCCCCCTTCAGATACTGGAAGGCTGCTATGAGGTCTCCACGCAGCCTTCTCAAAGGCTTCTCAGCCTTTTGCTAAGCTCTGCCTTTCTGCTACTGCCTATATCACTGCACCTACCACTGAAGGAAGCATCTTTGCTGTTCACATTGGTATATGCTGTCATTGCATGTTTTATTGTCTTCTTTCTTTCTTTCCTTTTTCCCCATTAAGGAAGATTGGGTTGAGTGTACTCCAACTGGTTAAAATACTTCTAAAAGCCATTCACCTGCATTAGGAATAAACAGCTGGCATACCAACATTTTTGTCTTTTCTGGCTGCTCAGCTTCACCAGGGCTATTCACAGCTTGCACCCTACTAAGGTCACTGGTATCACTGTTACATATTTCCTGTATTACATGAGGATTGGGTTCCAGTAGTTAACAAGTCAAAAAATATTCCTGGGGGTGGGAGAGGAACTAGGTAGATAAGTGTGTCCTGCATGTCCACTTTAGTTTTGGAATTGCTGCCTTCATCCATATGAGAGATAACTGTGATCGAACAGTTAGTTACCCCAAATCATACAGAACTGCTTTTAGACTCTGCACACAGAATGTCCACCTTGGCCAAAGCATGTTGGGACCTCAACTGCTAGCTGCTGCTGAGACTCTTTATAGCCTCTGGGCCAAAATTTGCACTACTGTAATTGGGAATAGCTCCTATAAAATCAGCATCTCCACATTTATTCTCTTGAAATTCAAAGCCAGATTTGACCCACTGTGTGGATAGAGTCCAACTGGAAGATAGGGGCCAGATTCAGCTCTGACTTACAGGAGAGTAGATGAGAATTAACTCCTCTGCAGTTCATCAGGCTCAGTCCTCATGTGTGTCACACTGATATAACTGTCCTGACCTCAATGGAATTGATCCTAATTTATGCCACTGTAACTGAGATTGCAGCCTGCATTGTTTAAATTCTGTTGGGTGCGCCTTCTTCCAGGATGGAAACTATTTGCAAACTATAACAGTCTCTTTCCTAACATTGAGGCTTGCCATAACTGAAATTTTTGGTGGGGCTAGGGTGTGGAGAAAAGGATATAAAGCCAACTTTGTGCTTAGTGCTACTGTGTAACTCTAAGTCCTGCAGTGTTCTGTTAAATTATCAGTGCCTAATTAGGAGTACTAGAATATGCCTATCCTCTTATCCAAATATAGAGGTTGTGTTTCAAGATCACCCAAAAAGAGGGAGATAACTTTAGGAAGTTCAAAATAAAACATGGTGATTTTGTGCAGGCCTTTCCTCATACATGGGCTTCCCTGCTAATTGATTTCTCTTGCCTTTGCAGCTTCTGTTTTTATCCAGCTGTACATAATACATTTCTGAAGCATACAATGAATCGGATGCTGTGCAGCTGAAATATCACATCTCAAATGGCTCACTTAACGTTCTCATACTGAACTGACTGCCTGAGTTGTGGCTTTGACAAGGGGAATAGTTGCTTTTCTCTCAGAACACTGTAAGTCTTAAGTGCAAAATAAAGAATCCTTCACCTAGAAAGATATTATACACATATATATATATGTTTTTATATATATACAGACATATGTGTTTGTATGTGTATAGATTTGGAGTAAAAAGCAACTCTTGTCTTCTTTTGATTGCACTGGAAATGTTCATTTTGTCAAGCTTACCTTTTCCCCTGGTAGCAATGAAATTTGGCCAGGAGTCCCAGCACACCATAAGGAATCAGGCTGTGACCACAGTAAGCACGAATGGCTGGGAAAGGTTATAGCGTGTAACACTATGCTATGGTGACCTCTTACAGAGTTAGAGGGTGGGGAGTGTGATGCTGGGTCAGATAGATAACTATTACAAGAGAAGCACAAAGCGAAGTTCAAAGCTGCTTTTGCTGTTTACTCTTTCAGGATGCATTTGGCGAGGACTTTTTATTTCGAAAACTTCAGCTGCAGGGCTTGTAGCTGACCTTCCAGAATCAAACCAGAGCATGCCTTAATTTTACCTGCAAGTACACTCATGGCATATTCCTACTTATTCTACAACGAAATCGAAAAGCTTTTCTAAAATCTAATGTACAAAGTGACTGCTTAAAACAGGCTGTCAGAGATTTTCAGCCACAGTGAAATAAAGCACTGTGTCATGCAACCAGTAACAGGAGTAGGTTGGTGGATCTCTCCTGTGGTAAGCTGTAGAGTTGTTCTACTGAACAGGCATTCTCTTAATGAAAAAAAATAATAGCGATTCCAGGGAATTGTTTATACCACTGATTAAATTTGTTCCTTAAATCTTCATTTTTCTTCTTGAAATACTGAATTAAATGCAGATGGAAAAAAAACCAAAACTAAAACCAGAGATTTTTGAGGCTGCCTTATTCATTTCTCTTTTAATTTCACTTATTTACTAGCTCCAGTAGCCCAAGAGATAGCACCATTTCAATGTAGCTCTGAAGGGATTTTGGCTCAATGTTTTGTAAGGCAGGCTAGGGAAGAGCATGGTCTTAAAATAGACACAGGGCAGAGTACCTGAAATCAGCTTCCAGCATCACACTGAAGCACAATGTGAGCTTTGATTTGTGGAGTGGCATACCTGAACAGCACAGTGAAAACTTTCAAGATAACCAGAACCAGGGCTGCAAAAGATCTGCAGTGTCCCACCCTTTTACAGCAGCAAATATGTTCTAGTGAAGACCATAAAACAGGTTTGCTTGGGTCTAAGACTGCACACCTTTGTGTGGAATCTCTTGTGAGTTATCTTTCTGTGAAAAGCAGGCAGTCCAACTTTCTCACACCTCAGTTGGGATATATTTCAATTTTTGTTGAAAAGATCCCTGAAGCCAATAGAAAAATAACTTGGTATTTACAAATTCTGGCTCATGCATCATGGATAAGGTCTAAGAATAATTAGGATTCAGGTATCTAAAAGTTCAGTACTACAGCCTCGCTTAATAATATAATCCAGACCTGTACGCTGGGCATAGGTATCAGATCAATGGCAATAGCACGCTGACTAGGGAAGTGCCTCAATTCAGTGTACTCGCTAGGCAACTGTGTATTGTCCCAATAGAAATACCACCTCTTCCTAAGGTGCAGAGCAGCAGAGGATTAGTGAAAGCCAGTTCTTGCAAGAACTTCTAGATTAGCAGGAGTTTGGAGCACATCCTGCATCCTAGAAAGCTTAAGATGCTAAGGTCATTTAAGGACTGCCCCAGCACAGACCCTGCTGCCTCGGTTTCATTTCCAATTGACAATCATCCAGCCTGTTCTTAAAACCTCTGTGAAAGAACACCTCCATAGCTCCTCAGAAAGGAAGCTGTATCTGAGTTGCTTCTTAGCATTAGAAAACTTTTCCCAATGTCCAGTATTAGCCTTTCCTGCTACCTGTTATGTTGATCTCACTTGTCTTCCTATCTGCTAAGCACATTTCATGATTTTCACACCAGCCTTTACTCTGTGTACACTCCCTTATCCCAGCTATCTCTTCTGCACAATTCTTCTCCAGTTATTAAATCCAAGTTGTATTTTCTAGATTTCTGTTTCCTCTCAGAGCTCTTATCTAATAGCACTCTCTTCTGTCATTTAACTTTCTGGAAGTTGTCTGGTCATTGCTGGACCCGATAGTAAAGCTGAAGCTTTACCAGTGCCCGGTACCTTGTCATATGGCTGATTTATGTGTCTTTCAGTCCCTCTGGTAGGACTGCTTTCACCAGGGATGCCAATGTCTGCTTTCAACAGTTAATTAAAAGCAAAGAGAATGAACTGATGCCAAGAGAAGCCAGAAATTCAGCTGGCATAAACTGATGCAATGTTTTAATGTCCGTAAACAATACTGACTTACATTATCTGAGCATGGTGAACCTACCAGGCTTACAAATGCCTTGGCATTAGAACATCCAAGCTTCCTGATCTGTTTCACTTCAAGTGCTGCTTCTGCCAACTGCATCTGTGCCTAAATCTAAACCTGCTTCACTGTTCTGATGGAAATAAACCACTGGCATATGAATGATTCATGCTTGCATAATTAATACTAAGTGTCTAACCAGAAGCAATTGCTGCATGAAGTATTAAAATCATATTACATCCAAATACTGCTGTATTTTTTGGTTTATGGATACTAGTGTTTAAAACTCAGTAATCAAAATACTATAATTAATTGCTTCAATTCTCCCTAAATGTACCAGCAGTGCATTATATTCAGTGTTACTATCTCTGATCAACTCTAAAATAGAAAACCACATTCCACTGATTTGAGGCATCACGAAAGAATCATAAAGTTATCCCAAATTACAATGTAATTAAGATTTACAAGTTGCATAATTTATTTCACATGTATAACAATTGAATTTTAATTAATGAAACCTGAGTAAATAGTGCTAATTAGCAGTATTTTCAGAAGCAAAAATGTTTCAACAATCAAATTTAGATAGTATCTTATCTTTTTCTTACCATTCTTTGATGGATTGTTATTCCACTCCTGCATTTTCAGATTTCCTGGTCTTCTTTTAGGCTGTACTTGACTGTGGGGGAAGAGACTGAGGGGGTTTTTTATAGCTGAAAATCTTTAGTTGATATATCATATTATTCCATTTTAAATTGTTCTTATTTGATCCAGGGTGGTCCTCAGACTTGCTTCTGCATGTTTTTATCTATGCCTTGGTTATATATTCATTTAACTTGTTGTGCAACAGAAAAAGCATGTTATATTCATGGAATTGCAAGACTAAAATTTAATTGCAATTGCAAGATTTATCTGTTGTAAAGACTGATTTCTACAGTCTCATTTGTGACAGTGCAACTTACTTGCAGCCTCAGCTGAAGCCTTTCAAACTAAAAGAGATCAAGGAATAATTATTACATTATGCCATAATCAGAACAACATAATCAGCCAACACCCTTTTCTGTCACTATTACTTAACATTTATATAGCAGTAGTACCAAGAAATAGAGCTCTGTTGTTTTAATGATTATACTGTCTTCTTTAGGTGTATCAGTAAATCCTCTAGCTTGGTATGGTGATGGGAAAAGACAACCTGAATAGATAATTATTCACAATGGAGATTAAAGGGCTTAAAATTTGATCCCTATCTGAAAGCTGACAGGGTAGATCATTCCATGTCATCAAAACAAACCAATATGAAATTGCATTGATTACCGTAATTACTACGGAGTCTCTCCAACTGCTATCCTACCCAAAGTCCTTCAGTAGAAGGACTCTTCTGAACATGGTTACTACAGTCATTTGCACTGGCTTTGTTAGTAATACATTACACAAGAACACAATACTGCTGATGTCTTTCTATGTTAGTATTTACTCATTGTCATGTAACTTCTGAAGGTCATATGTCACTGTAGTAACTGGTCTGAGGAAAACCTTGAAAAATGGCTATTTTTTTTTCTTTTTCATTTTTTGTTGTTGAAAGAGATCTTTATGCTTAAATGGAAACAGCTCACAGGATTGGGCTATCAGAGCAGCAGCTCAGGACTTCGCATTATGTTACATTGACAACATCTTAGCAAATGAGAGACTGACAAATTGTTTTGCCATGAAAGCATAAACTATACAGAATATTGTGGAATGCAGACAGCATAGGGAGACACCCTCCAGTCTCCAAGGACTTGCATTTTTGTTATTGCTTACAATATTTTTTATCATTTCAGTGCTAATGCAGTGTTTCATTTGGGAAGTGTTTTTTTCCCTTCTCCCTCGAACAAAGCACCCAGCAATACTCCAAGACCAACACCACTTGCGCTTGTCAAGTGAAGTAAAGAAACTGCACACTGCTGTGTTACAGAGGCTAGAAGCTTTCTTAGAGGCTAAAACCTCAAAGACTGGAAGAGTCATCCTGCAAAAAGAACTGCATGGTAGGTATTCAAAGAGGTAACGTTTAGGAAGATCCAGGTTAGACTTTAGGTAAAGGTCTCCACGTGTGAAGATGGATACATTTTATCAGGGAAGCTGGGAAATGCCCCTCTTGGTCTTAACAAAAAAAATAAAAATTAAAAAAATTAATGAAACAAAATCATGTAGATTTGACTTTTCATTGAGGACGTGCCAGAGGACCTCTCATAGCCCCTTCCAGTTCTGCTGTTGGGGTCAGATCTTGAACTGCTGCTGAATTCCTCACATTTGGGTGGACTATACAGGGCTGTCTATTGGTACTGATTTCTGTTTACCATCCTTTGACAGGATAAGGTTTTAACTACTTGACAGTCCTGGTACTCAGCAATACTCTGTAAATCTTGTGTTCATTAAAATTTCAGACAGAGTAATACCTTTTAAGAGTACTTAGAGATAGATTACAAAAAATATTAGACATCGCCAAGTTTCAAAGTTCAGCTGTTCTGTAATGATGTGTTTAAAAAGAGTGTGTGGCACCAGTTTACTATGCAGAGAAAGATTAATTTTTTTCAACTTTCAAACATGAGCAGAGAACAGGAAAATGGTTTTTATTTAGCTTGTTACAAGCAGTAATTAAGGAAGCTTTCCACCAAGATAACAGACGTAAAGCTCTAATTCCAAAGAGAAAATAAATCCAGAAAGGTATGAATTAGTGAAAAGGGACATAAAAATGAAAGTAGCCTTATAAGTGTTCTACTATAAAACACAGTAACATAATACTATTCTTTGTGTCATATTTTCATACACTAGTAAAGCCTTATTACCTACTTCTGTGGCCCACATTTTCATGGATTCTTTAGTATTCTCTGATGCAATAAATAGTCATTAGAAACACCTGTAGGACTGGCCTCTCCCAAGTCACCCACTGTGGGCTGTTTCCTAACTACTGATTTCTACTATTTTAATGGCACAAAGAATTCTGTGTTTTGACATGGAAATCCTTATCACTCTAAAAAGGAATTACAGTATTCATCCAATCATAAAATGATATTATGAAAGCAGCTCTTTTGCTGATGTGGTGCCTTTAGAGTTGCTTGATGTTATTCTGGTAACACAATTTGACTGGATATACATTTTGACATCCAGAAAATGGGGACAGTGATGGAAAGTGGTGGACTCAGTGCCAAAAGAAGAAAAACTGGCTTCAGGAGGACACCTAGGGAATTAATAGGTGAACTGGAAAAAAAACCCTTTCCCAAGGGTCAAAATTAATAAAGCGGGAGAGGAGGAGGGGGAGAAGAATGAAAAGGCAAACACAAACCAAGTTTTTTATTTCTTAAAAAAACAAATTTTGATACTTAGAGGAATTTCAGAGCTCAGTAGACATCAGCTGAGAAGTCGTAAGTTTCAACCTGAAAAGTTGACATTCAATATTCATATTTCTGTTTCTGCCACAGTTGACAATAACTGTATTGATAATGTAGTGTATCTCATTATTAAGTATCCTTCATTTTAACACTTTGAGTCTTTTTCTTAATTTCCACCATAAGCATGCTCCAGAATACTGTGAACAAGATGGCGTCCTCAGGAGAACTAGCATTTGTAGACATTTTTCTTTTTGTGGACATTTCACTGCAGAAAACAAGACCTTCTTCACTCAACAGCCTTTGTAAACACTTACGCTTTCATGTTTTGGAACTGTGTTTATATATGGCTATCCTGTATCTCCAAGATAAAAGAAATCTGGGTTTGGAATCAGAGAGAGCCATACCCTTTCATATACTTTGTCTATTCCAAACTGAGCATTTGTATGTATCACACATTAGTCATTTTCCTGTCATTGGGTGATAATATATCATAGGTACGGGACTTTTGATAGAGCTTAAGGAAGGACTGTGTTAAGTAAATACGTGCCAAGAATTTGGTATGAGCAGAGGTAACAAGGTCTTCGAGGTAAATGGTGACATTTACGTATTTTCCACCTGCTGACATCATGGCTCCCTTTGCCCCAAATCCAGTATTAGACTATTTCTAAAGCCCCTCAGAAAGACTTAAATATTCTTATGTTTTTAAGCAGTCTTTGAAGTTCCTGAGCAGCAGAATTTAGAAGGTAATGTTGTGTTATATTAACTTACATATTATCTTGTTAGAGTAGATATTAGATCAGGGCATGTTATATTAGTCAGTATTATATCATACTATATTATATCTTATATTCTAGTATGTGCTACTATATTTTCATCAATTCTGCAATATTACATTAGGTTGTATCACATACTGTTATACTACAAGATATTCTATTGCATGACAACATATTACACTGTAATAATATATTACATTTTATATGACATTATGTTTTGTAATGTAATTTATTAAAGTCTAGTATAATGCTACTGTATTGTAGTCAGCTATATTTAGCTATATTTAGGTGAGTTCTAGCATGTTCCATCAGGTAATTATTTTTTTTTTTTTAGCCCAGCCTAGCCCAGCCCACTGCCTTCCAGTGTGTTCTGCTACATTCTAGTATTTTCTAGTGTGTTCTGCTATCTTCTACTATATTTCACTATACTCTGATATATTCTAGTGTGTTCTTCTATATTCCAGTATATTCCACTGTGTTCTGCTATTATAGTATGTTATAGTATATATAATCATAGAATCGTTAGGGTTGGAAAGGACCTTAAAATCATCTGGTTCCAACCCCCCTGGCGTGGGCAGGGATACCTTACTCTAAAGCATGCCACCAAAGCTTTGTCCAACCTGGCCTTGAACACTGCCAGGGATAGAGCATTCACAACTTCCCTGGGCAACCCATTCCAGTGCCTCACCACCCTAACAGGAAAGAATTTCCTCCTTGTATCCAATCTAAACTTCCCCTGTTTAAGTTTGAACCCATTACCCGTTGTCCTATCACTACAGTCCCTAATGAAGAGTCCCTCCCCAGCATTCCTATAGGCCCCCTTCAGATACTGGAAGGCTGCTATGAGGTCTCCACGCAGCCTTCTCTTCTCCAGGCTGAACAGCTCCAACTTCCTCAGCCCGTCTTCATATGGGAGGTGCTCCAGTCCCCTGATCGTCCTCATGACCCTCCTCTGGACTTGTTCCAACAGTTCCATGTCCTTTTTATGTTGAGGACACCAGAACTGCACACAATACTCCAGGTGAGGTCTCACAAGAGCAGAGTAGAGGGGCAGGATCACCTCCTTCAACCTGCTGGTCATGCTGCTTTTGATGCAGCCCAGGATACATTTGGCTTTCTGTGCTGCAAGCACACTGAAGCCGGCTCATGCTCATTTTCTCATCAACCAACACCCCCAAGACCTTCTCCCCAGGGCTGCTCTGAATCTCTTCTCTGCCCAACCTGTAGCTGTGCCTGGGATTGCTCCGACCCAGGTGTAGGACCTTGCACTTGGCATGGTTAAACTTCATGAGGTTGGCATCAGCCCACCTTACAAGCGTGTCAAGGTCCCTCTGGATGGCATTCCTTCCCTCCAGGGTATCAACCAAACCACACAGCTTGGTGTCATCGGCAAACTTGCTGAGGGCACACTCAATCCCACTGTCCATGTCACAGACAAAGATGTTGAACAAGACCGGCCCCAACACCGATCCCTGAGGGACACCATTCGTTACTGGTCTCCAGCTGGACATTGAGCCATTGACCACAACTCTTTTGCATGTGGCCATACAGCCTGTTCATTATCCACCGAGTGGTCCATCCATCAAATTGTTCTCTCCAATTTAGAGACAAGGAGGTCGTGTGGGACAGTGTCGAACGCTTTGCAGAAGTCCAGGTAGATGACATCAACTGCTCTACCCCTGTCCATCAGTTCTGTAGCCCCATCATAGAAGGCCACCAAATTGGCCAGGCAGG